AGATAGAATTGAAAAACCTTTAGCAAGACTAACCAAGAAAACCGAGAGAGGATTAAAAAAAAACTTGGAATAATAAAAGCGATTTTACAATTGACATAACAGAAATACAAGGAAGTATAGGATACTAGTATGAACACTTAAGAAATTAGATAATCTATAAGAAATAGTTAAATTTCAAAAAAAAATGTTACTAACCAAGACTCATGAAGAGATAGAAAATCTAAAAAGACCAATAATTAGCCCTGGTCAGTGTTTTTCAAGGGTAAAGCATCAATCTGTGCACTGCAGATTTAATTCCTGGTCAAAGGCCTGCACCTGAGTTGCAGGCTTGCTCCCTGAACTTGGTTGGGGTGCATGTGAGAGGGAGCCAGTTGATGTGTCCCTCTTTCTCTCTCCTTCTCTCTCTCGACCTTTCCCCCTTACCACCCACCCTCCAACTCTCTGAAAAGCAATGAAAAACATCCTCTGGTGAGGATTAACAACAATAACAAAAATAATTAATTAATTAATTTAAAAAGACCAATAAAGGGATTAAAGAGACCTGACAGATACACAAAATTCTAGTAAACTAGAATTCAGAAGCACAATAGGGTCATACAATAGGAGTGAGATTCATTCTTAGGGTGCAAGAATGGCTCAACATATGCAAATAAATAAACATGATACACCACGTTAATATGATGAAACAGAAAAATCATTTGATCCTCCTAACGCCTGCAGAAAATCATTTGAAAAAATTCAGCATTCATTCATGATAAAAGTTCTCAACCAATTGGGTTTAGAGAAATGTGCATATATGCATAACCGATGGACATAGACAATAGTGTGGTGAAGGCTGGAGCAGGCTAGAAGGAGTCAATGGGGGAAAAGGGAGACATCTGTAATATTCTCAACATTAAAGATAAAATTTTAAAAAATAGGCAAAGGACCCGAATAGACATTTTTTTTTCAAAGAGACATATAAATGGTCAATAGGTACATGAAGAGATGCTCAGCATCATTGATTATCATGGAAATGAAAATCAAATCCACCATGAGACATTATTTCTGGCAAGTTAGAACAGCTATTGTCAAAAAGATAGAGCCATCAAGTGTTGGCGAGGTTGTAGAGAAAAGGAACCCTAGTGCACTGTTGGTGAAAATATAAATCGGTGTCACCACTATGCAAAACAAAACAGGGGGTTCTCAAAAAAATTTTAAAAAATTAACTACCATAGGATTCAGTAATACCATTTCTTCTTATATATCAAAATAAAATGAAACCTCTATCGCTAAGAGATATTTCTACCCCCATGTCCATTGCAGCATTACTCCCAATAGCCAAGGCATGGAAATTGTACAAGTGTCCACTGACTAGTAAATGAATAAAGAAGATGTGATACATATACACAATAGAATGTTATTCAGCTATAAAAAGGAAATCCCCCATTAGTAACATGGATGCACATGCTAGGTGAAATAAGTCAGAAAGAGAAAGACAAATATTGTATGATTCCACTTATATGTGGAATCTAAAACCTAATAATGCCAAATCCAGAGAGACCAAGTGTATTTTGGTGGTTTGAAGGAACTGTGGGTGGGGAAATATTATAGAAAGATGTTTGTCAAAGGGTGCAGACTTCTAGTTATAAGATAAGTAACTTCTAGGGCTCTCATGTACAACATGGTAACTATATTTCAAAATACAATACTGTACTTGGAAAGTTACCTTCATAATTGAAATATTAAATACTTATTTCAATAATAAACACAATTCAATCTAGAATACTTGAAAACTGCTGAGAGAATAGATCTTAAATGTTCTCATCACAATAATAATTACATGAGGTGATAAATGTGTTAATTAACCCTATCATGGGAATCACTTTACCATATGTATGTGCATCAAATCATCACATTGACACCTTATTCTTACATGATGTCATATCAATTGTATGTCAATAAAGCTGGACAACGTAAGTACAAAATGTTCAGAAACATTTTGTTAATGTAATAGTTACTGCTATTCATATCTTATCTTCCAAAGAATGTTTAATGCATTATTTGATTTAATACGTGCAGCATTTTTGGATTGGGCAATTTTGTTTTCCTTATTAATCAAGTAATGAAATCAATTCCTCACAGTTCAATAACTTGTCAAAAGTCATACAATTAAAACCAGCCTCACCAGTGCTCCCCTAAACTTCATTCCTGCTCTCTCCCTGAAAAGTACATGCACAATATGAACAGTGTTTTCTTTACCTAACAGGTTTATAGTAGAGTGCCACTTCTTTATTTTTTTTAATTTTACTAGGGTAATACAAAAATAGTTTAACAAAATAAAATAAATAAATGGAAATTGTTAACAATAAAAATAGGAAAAAAATAGTTTTATAAGAGAAAAAGAAAAGGTATTTCGGTTTAATAATTTATCATAAGAGAAATATCAATGTTTAACAAATATATGAAATAATCTTTAACCAGCTTTCTTATTTTTTTTCTGTTTTTGTTTTAATTCTCCATCTGTTCCTCTTTATTTACTTTTTGTTCCTTTACCTTTGAGGCTATGTGTTCTTACATTCTGTTGACAATTTTAGACCGTTCTTTAAATTTTCTGTAATCATATTTGCAGCTACTCCTTCTCTTAATCCTCAGAATTATTTCCTTTTCCCCTTGTAATGCTGTCTTCTGCACGCTGGCTTGCTCTGTTCACTCACCCTCTGGGCAGAGAGAAAGTTAGAGAAAAATATATCCAGGTCCTGTAGGGGCCAAAAAGCATTGTGCGGCTTGCCCTTGGCTTCTCTGTCTGTGCATTTGGTGCTGCTATAATCATCTTTTCAGAATTAGAGCCAAAAAGCAGCTAGATGCAGGCACGCCTCTCAGCCAGTGTGCAGGTTCCAGGAGAAAACAAAGTCTGTCGAACTTTCATCTGGTGTAGTCTTACTGGCCCAAGATGGGACGTGTTCTTCCTCACTCTTTTTTTATATGGCACTCTTAATAGTTAAGATACATTAATCAAAGCAAATAACACCCCTCTTCCCCCATCCCCCCAAATAGTTTCACTCATGCAGTGCTGCCAGGACTTTTTTGGTCTCTGCTACCTGAAGACCATTAAATGCCAGTCTTCTCCTTTATTTTCTTTCTACTTCTCTATACAAAGATATTGGTGGAGTAAATAAAATCATTTTTGCCTCAACAATCAACAGCAATTCATCAATGGGATTAGTAGGATAGTTATATTATTGGAGGATACGTGAAGTTTTGAACCAAGTTTCACCCATTCATCAGGATTCTTGCTATGTGCCTTTTAATTGCTGGCTTTGCTTTCTCGCTGATGAGCTGGACACAGACTGAGTTGTGTAATCAGTGACCTTGGCCTTCTGGTTAATTATATGCTTCTTGGATTCTTATAACAGGTTTATTGTTATTTCTAGATTTTATCTTAAATATACATCTACTCGGGCTGTTTTCCAAGCACTTTAGTTGAATATTGAGAGATTCTGCACTGCAGTCTAGAAGTCATTTTAAACAAAAATTTTCTTTAATTGGTTTACTATTATTTATCAGTTTTGTTTTAGGATTGACTCTTCGCCACTAAATTTCAGTGAAAATTAACTAGACATCTAACTTGTAAATAATTTCCTGTCTCACATACATGTATCAGTGGTACCATTCCTCATTTAACAGCACAGCACTCAAATTTAAGGCCTTTTTTTTTTTTTTTCTTCTGCTAAAATTGTTTTCATAGACAGTGATGTACTTAGCTTTACTTAAAGAAATACTGATGTGGTAGGAGTACCAGAGTTTAGTATTTGGATTTTGTAATCACTGTACTTCATGCCCCCCCTGCCACCTCCTGTCCCTAAGTCCTTTTTTCATTTTGTTACAGAGATATGGAGGAGGAGAATGGCACACTAGTTCTGGACCAAAAGTCCTATACTTGTTTCTCACAATTACATGAAAACACAATCCCTCTTTTTTTTTTTTTTTTTTTTTTTGCTAGCCCTTTGATCTGCAGCCAACATAGTGTGTCAGAAAGAAACTGGCTGTTGGAAAAATTTTAACTCTGCTGCTTGGTCAGCCTTCAATGGGCAGGCTACCTACTTTTCTGAGTTTGTTTACTCATCTGTAATGTAGAGATAATCCCTTTGGGGAGCTCTTGAAAGGATGGCTTGTGATAAGTAAGTGTCCAATGAATATAATTTTCATTTTTTGATTCTCTGAACATCAAAACAGCCCATTGTTTTAAAATGTGAAAGGGATTAGGTTTGAGAAAGGATAGTCATTAGTATTCTTTTATTCTCTAACCCTAGAATATTGGCTTTCCAAAGAGCCTGGCAGAGTAAAATTTTAAAATAGAAACAAGAACTCACACATGTACTATTCTCATTTCATTTCCAAATGTCCCTCCTAGACTTGGCAAATATATGCTTTCATTTGAAAATTGCTTAACACTTTACATCTCAGGAGCTAAATCTTTACGAGGACCTAACATGTGCCTGCCTCTATAATCAACTTAGGGGATATGATTTTGAACGTTGAGAATCCAGTGCTTAGTGCAAATAGATATACTATCTTTCCTCTTTTTTTTTATTTTTTTTTTTAGCTGTTTGCTTAATATGTTTATTGTCTCTGAAAAATCATAGAAAATTGTGATTTGGTTATTAGCTCTCAGGAGCCCATTCCTGAGCTCTGAGGAAGCTTTCTTTCTTCTGAGCTACCCGATCTATCTTCTGGGCAAGAGACATTTTGGGACGGTTTCACCTCTTCTTTTTAACTTCTTTCTTAGGCTTCTTTTCATAGACTGGATTCTCTCGTATAGCAGTATGAGCTTTCCTATACATCTCCTCCATCATGTATGGAGTTACGTTGTTCTTTATATATTGAGAGAACTGTTTCTTGTAAGCATCTTCATCTTCTTCCATTAGATAACGCATATAATCTGCAACGTTCTGACCCATGATGTGCTTCCAATGTACTTCCGCATTGAATTCCTTGCTTTCTGAATCGTAACCAGGGAATCATTTGGTACTGTGAGGGATAGATAGGCCTCCATCCACAGCTCCCTTCAGGGCCCCCAAAACTTTATTTCCAGTAGTAGTTCTGGCAAGCCCTGCATCCAAAGAGCAGGTGAAGACACCAGGTTGACCATCAATGCTTTCCACATTGTATTCATCTCCAGTCACCTCCACCTGGCCTTCATAGATCTTGTCCAAGCCAAATCTATTGAGAAGCCTGCAGGCCAGCAGTAGGCCAGTCCAATATGCTGCAGCATAATTTGTCAGGCCAACCTTCACACCATACTTTGGGAGTTCATGAGCATAAGCTGCACAAACTATCATATCTCCTTCTATACGGACATAAGCGATCTGACAGATGATATCTCTATTGGTTACGCGAACTATTATCCTGTATTTAGGTGTGTTGTACTTATTTTTATCCTGGATCACCAAGTGTTTCCGGGCATAGTAATCAGTTTTACCCTCTTGCCGTCTCCTGAATTTCACTTGGTATCGCTTGAAGTAGGGCTTGTTCTTGACGACTTTCACAAACCCCATCTTGCGGAGGAGAGCCCCAGGGCCGCAGCTTGCCACAGACCTGCAGGCTGAGCCTAACTCTGGTGGGGGAAAAGGCTTTCCTCTTGAAGCTAAGTTTTGAATAGGAAAATAGACATTAATCTAGAAATCATACATCTATAAAAATAAAATTATAATATGCTAATTAGACCAGACATTGTTCCAGATGAATCCAGGGCTGCAAGAGAAGCCCAGGTCCCAGATGCCAGAGGGAAGCTGGTGCCAGCGTGAAGCTGGTGCCAGCAGTGGGGATGGGGGGGGAGAGAGGAAGGAAGGCCTACTCTTGCATGAATTTCATGCATCAGCCTCTAGTGTAATTATAAAATTATAATTTTCACAAGTGCTAAAAGGAGGTTCATGGCCAGTTAACTTTTTTGGGGATATGACCCAGTGGGAGAGGTAATGGAAAATTTTAATGAGGATGTAATTTTGACTTGAGGTTTGAATGTTGTGAAGATGAAAGGACAGAGGAAAACCCAGAGTCAGTAACATATTTCATGGCCCTATGATTCAGGGAAGAACTCCAGGTTCAAAAGCCAGAGAGATTGCCCTTCTGTGTTGAGAGGAGATAATGAAGACAAACAGGGTGTTAGATGAGACAGTAGCTTGGTAGGGGCCATGACTTGTAGGAACTTTCAAGTTATTTCAGTTATCAAGTACAGCATAACAAACCATCCATCACTAAGTGGCATTAATCAATAACCATTTTATTATGCTCAAAGACACTGTGTATCAGTAATTTGGAAATGGCATGGTGAGAAGAGTCCTCTTCTGCCTCAGTAATTTCTGGAATGATCTGGCTGGATGGAGGTTGAAATGGTTGGGCCTGAAGATCCACTTCCAATATAGATTCTTCCTTCTCACATTGCACAGCTGAACTTAGATGGCTGAAGAATGCCTCAGTGAGGGTTGTCAAACAGTGCCTCCATGTAGCCTCTTTTGTATGTCAATCAAAGGGTGATACAATTTCTGACTTGTCAGCTAAGTATTCCAAAAGCTAGTGTCCCACCAATAAGAAAGCTGCATGATGCCATGTGATCCAGTCTTCTAAGTAACCCAGTGTCAGTGCTGATATATTCTGTTGGGTGAAGCAATTACAAGCTCACCCATATTTAAATAGAGAAAATATTGACTCCAGGACCTGATGAGAGAATTGTCAAAGAATTTTGGCTATGTTTAAAAATCACCGCCCGGTATGTTAAGGGTTTACTTTTATCTCAAGAACAGTGGAAAAATTTTGTAAGCATGGGATAATAATGTTCAAGTGTGTGTTTTATATTAACACTGGCAAGGGAGTTAGGAACAGATTATAGGAGAGCTGAAGTAGAGGAAAGTGAACAAGATGAGTGTGCAAAGAAGTAATCCAGGCAACAAATAGCATTAGCTTGTATTGGTGGAGACAGAGAGAAGTAGATGACTTTGGTTGGTATTGTGGAGGTTAGATCAGAGAACCTGGTGATGAATTATATTGAAGAGGTGAGAGGAAAGGAAGCTACAAGGGTAATTTCTAGTTTGTTTGTTGGTTTGTTTTTGTTCGCACATCTGGATACCTAATATATCTCTTTTCTGTTATAAGGACAAAACTAGAAATGAGACAGAGAAAAAGATGAGTTTTACTTAGCAAAAAATAATTTGGGATAACTTTAAGATACCCAGAAGGAGATGTTAAGTGACTAGTTGAGTATATGGTTTTGGAAAAGAGAATAATATGAAATAAGAATAGAATGAGAATAAGATGAAGTCATCTTACCATAAGATGAAATCATCTTATCAATTACATTATATCACTTGGATTGGTTATCAGTTTGGTGGAAGTGTGTGACTCAGATATTGCTCAATGAATAAATATATTTTGAGCATCTACTATATGAACGCCAGTGTAGTAGGAGGTTTATAGATAAATGTCTTACCTTTAAAGAAATAATAAGTAATAACAATTAAATATTATAAAGTAATGTTCTTGGGATGGTTGGGAGATATAGAAAGGCCTAGTAGAGCTACTAGTGGTACATAGTCATGTTCCAATCAATCATCTGAGGACACAGCTATGCTACAGTTCAGGTGTATGAGTGGTCAGTGATAAGCTCATTACATAATAAAAATGAAGAGCACTGGATTAGAGCTGGACTATTATTAATTAAATCCTTGTAATGGCATAATATCATTTGCAATAATATGTTTTTACTTGTTTTTGCTTTTAGGTTGGGACCCTCCTCACCCTTTCACTCTCCCCAGAATAACCTCTGTTCCTGACACTTGGAGAATTTTCATGTGTGGCTGGCTTTCTAAAGAAAGAGGCTCTTAAATCCCTTCGATTCTTATATTCTCCAATCTTGCACATTTCCTATAAAACAAATCCCATTTCCCAGAGATTTTTGGAATTGTGAAAATAATCTTGTGTAGGAGAATGATGGATTACCAAATGGAAGATTCAGAAAATAAGTTCTAGAGCAGTACAAATTATGACATGTTCCTGTGTCATGAAATCTACTCAGTGTGCCATGGCCATAATTTAACAAAATGAAATAGACTATTTTAGAATAGAAAATAATGGAATGGAATGGGTGCAATATAATAGAATGTGTTGAAATCCATTGCTATTATTACGATTCATACAAACTATCTCTATGGACTATAGTGGATAGATGTGTGCACCTTGACTCCATTAAAAATAAAAGAAACAGGCTCAACAATGCATCAGATTTATATATGGTGTTGACCTCATCTGTTCCATGCTGGATTAATTTATAATCTAGCCAGCACCACCAGATGCAATAATCATCTTTCTAAATGTTTGATTTTATATTATTTATATGGTGATTTCCCTCTAAATTTTATATTTAATGTTAATAAACTCAAAATTTCTATTACTCTGATGTTTTAATTTTGTTAGACATTACAAGGCAAAATTAATGTTTTGTGCAACATATCTATATCCCCAGAAAATGGTGTATTTAAATGGTAAGGATTTATTTTAGTCTTGGTATTTGTATACCAAGACAACAGCTCAGTGCTTGATAAATTGTCATTGTTTAAAATATATTTGTATGGCCCTTGAATAAGTGAATTGATTCATTAATAACGTATAGGACAACTATCATTTTGTATAGTCTTTCAACTTTCATGTAAGAGAATGAAGCTGGTACTTAAGAGGTCTGGCATATTCTTGTGGATGCTCTTCCCCTCGGTGATGATAAATGGATAAAGCCTGGCTTCATGACAACACATTATTTCCCCACTTCAAGTCACCTGCCCCCGGCTTCAGCTGTCCCTGTGAGGACATTATTCTGGTCCTCTGGCTCACTGACTCAGAATAACGTCACCATTTTCCATGGGGATGATAAGTTATATATTAACCAATGAACCTGAAGCTTTCTGGTCTAAAACTCTCCAGTAATCAAGTTTTGTTTGGAAACTCTTCCTTTCACCTGAGTCCACCTCTGCTAACCTCCTCTGCCCTTCAAGGAGTGAATGGGCAGCAAGAATAAGGCCTCGTGTAGATTGTTGCACTGAATTGCTGTGGCCCTGGGCATCGGAACAGGCCCTATTCTTAAGAAAAGTAGTCAGCACTGATCACAGCATGATTTATAGTTTCCCAAGGGATTCCACCCACGCTGGCTGAACTCCCAGGCCTGGCATTCCATGGCAGCTTCTGGCTTACACCAGCCCAGTAATCTGGCTTGAAATCATCATCACAATGACTTTTCATATTTAAGTGATAAATTAAGGAAGTTTTTCACAAAGGTCACCTTTATAATACATTCACTACTTGAGAAAAATCTAAATCTCATTGTCTGGCTTACCAGCTCAGAGGACATAAGCAAATTAGCCACTTTTCATTTTGGAACAAAAATGAGAGATTGGTAAGGTGAGAGTTGGTGGAGAGGAATTGTTGCTTATATTAAAATAAAGGAGATCACATCCTCTTGTTTTCAAATATCTTAGCAATACTCTGCCCTCTGAACATAAACATTGGGATTTTCTCATTTTTCAAATTGTGAAGCTGTTTCTTAATTTTCTTCCACTGAGATATTAGTTTCTCAGAGATGTCATTTAAAGAATGCCACTAAGCCCTAACCAGTTTGGCTTAATAGATAAAGTGTCAGCCTGCAGACTGAAGGGTCTTGGGTTTGATTCTGGTCAAGGGCACATGCCCTGTTTGTGGGCTCAATTCCCAGTAGGGTGTGTGCAGGAGGCAACCAATCAATGATTCTCTCTCATCAATGATGTTTCAATCTCTCTCTCTCTCTCTCTCCCTTCCCCTCTCTCTGAAATCAATTAAAAAATATTTTTAAAAATGCCATTAAGACCTTAGCTTTCTTTTACAAGCTTGGGTTCCCATAATATCAAATAAAATAGTTTTATTTGGTAAGGTAGAAATACAGGGAAGTTGAGTTATCTAAAATATTTATGAGGTCAAATGTGGTGGAAACTATTTAAAATAGGAATTTGACACTTGGTGTTCCTTATGTTCATTTGGTTAAGATTTCTCAAGAAGATACCAGTTTGTTTTTAAACTAGATCAAAATTACAAGGTTTGCAGCAGAACTACTAATTCTGCAGTAGTTACCTTGGCGTTCCTTCCTACAGTGGTAGTAACTTGCTTTCATGTCGTACAATGTAAAGGATATGGTCATGATAGAGTTCTAGTGAGCTGTTGAAATTCTGAAGGACCTAAGAGGACATCAATTGACCAGTATTTTCTCTGCTGAAGTATTCTTTTTATTTGATCCAATTTTGATAGATTGGCAAGAAAGAGGATCCAGCTGGGCTTTTGGAACTGAATATAAGTAACTCCACCAGGCTTATTCCTTATTCCTAGGTCTTTGGCAATGTTTTGAAGGAATGTTGGCTTCTAATGATTAACTTATTGATTGAGGCGCTATGTATGAGAGGGATCATCAGTGAACCTTGAGCACCAAAACATTTTTTTTTTAATGCTGAAATTGTGTTTGGAAGAGATTTGTTGTTGATGTTTTAGA